TTCTTAAGGGCTTTTATAAAAGAATCCAGAATACCTTTCTCACTTCCTCCACCAGACTAGCTTCCTCTTCCAGTACCAATCGTAAGGTCTACTTATGTCACCAGCACAGGGATGCTAGGGATTCTTGTCGGATCAGGACACTGACAATTGTAGAAACGCTGCTTCCTGAAACTTGGAAAAGATAGGTAATATTGTCTGCTGGACAACAGCATGGGACTTGGAAGCAGTTAGTAAGGACGAAGGGAAAGATAAATACTGAAACTTGGGTCTTGTAGAAGTACCAGTGGAATTGCTTTTCCAAGGGTGAGGGCTCAGATTTGCTCCACTTGATCTTGATTAGAAACTTTTAAAGTACGAGAAATACCTTGGATGTCCTTTCAGCATACTCTATTCGCATACACCAGATATCCCATTGGACACATTACAATTCTATATACCATGCTTTGGTTGGTCTGTCTCACAATCCTAAAGTTGTTATAAAATACAGTCATTCTGGATACACAATCTTAGAAATGAAAGGCTGGAAGGCACCTCCAAAGGTGATCTAGTTCAGACCCCTGTGCTGAGGTAGGACCAAGTAAACTAGACAATCCCTGACAGCTGTTTGTCTAGCCCTGTTCTTAAAAACCTCCAATGAGGAGGATTCAACAACCTCCCTTGGAAGCTTACTCCAGTATTTAACTATCCTTATAAAGTTTTTCCTAATATTTAACCTAAATCTCCTTTGCTGGAGATTAAACGGATTACTCTTGCCCTGTCTTCAGTGGATATGCAAACTGATCACTGTCCTTTGTATAACAGCCCTTAACATAGCTGAAGACTGTTAACTGATCCCCACTCTATCTTTGATTCTTAAGACTAAACATGCCCAGTTTGTTTTGCTGTTTGTTTTTTTAAACTTTTCCTCATAGGTCAGGTTTTCTAACCCTTTTGTCATTTTTGTTGTTCTTCTCTAGACTTTCTTGTTTGTCCACATTCTTCTTAGAGTTTGGTGCCCAAAACTGGACACAGTAACTCCAGCAAAGAGTTCACCAGTGCCAAGTAAAGAGGAACAATTATCTCCTATGCCTTAGATAGGACACTGCTGTTAATATACCCCAAAATATAAGCCTGTTTCGCAACTTCATCACACTGTTGGCACATATTCAATTTGCGACCCACTATAAACCCCAGATCTTGTTCAGCAGTATTAGTGTTATTCCTCATTTTGTAATTGTACATTTAATTTTTCCTTCTTAAAGTGTAGTACTTTGCATTTGTCCTTATTGAATTTCATCTTGTCAATCAGACCAATTATCCAAGGTCATGGTCCTTTTGAATTTTAATCTTGTTTTCCAAAGTGCTTGCAACCCCTCCCACTTTGGTGTCATATTCAACTTTTATAAGCAGACTCTTCACTCCATTATCCAAATCTTTAGTGAAAATATTGAATAGTAACAGCCCCATCACAGATCCAGGTGACCATGCTAGATACTTTCTCCCAGTTTAATAGCAAACTATGGATGGATGTATCTGAAAAATCAGAAGTCGTAAGCATGTGCCATTTGGGTATTCTCTTTTTCAATACAATGCGCAAAACTTCCATGCATATTTATTGGGGGGCGGAGGGAAGGAAAGAGAATCCAGAAGTTGTAGAGGAGAGAGCTTCAAAAATGTAACCAGGAATACTCATGCTTTTTAGTTACGTCACACTGGTTATTGCTGAAATACCTCCCATATCACTGCTGCTTGTACCTACAGATTCATTGCTGGTGCAGAGTTAATGCAGTATGATGTACAGATCAAAGAGAAAGTTTGCCTTAAGATAGTTGCATATGTTGTACCTTACATGTGACCTGAAGTTTATGCAGCTGAGAGATTTTAATTTCTTCCAAGTGATCAAAGGAAGCGCATCTCCCACCTTCAATAATTAGAGCTGAGGATTCATGGCAGGCTGATTTGACACAGCTCTCAAGATGAGAAAGTGAGGTTGTCACACATCAGTGAAAACGTATGGATTCACAGATAGCTGTATGAATTACTAGCGTGTGATCAACCTTCCTTGTTATCTATTTTGTAGATCAGGGCATTTGGATGAACACCAACCACAATGGGAACTCAATTTATCATTAAACTTAATATATATTATCTCAGAATTATAAAGTCTTATTTAAATAATTGGGAGTCTAGTTTCAAGTGACTAAAGCCAAGAGATTCAAAATTGAAACTCAGATTCTGTCCTTATTTATGAGAACAGACACAGCTATGAAAATCTTGCATTTAAGTTTCTCTCTCCAACAATATTTTAAGTCTTTTATAGAAGTTTTGAATACATTTACGTTTAAATGGTTTTAGCCTCTTGGAAGCAAAACTGCTAAATCCTGCAGCTCTTGCTTTTATAAGTAGCTGTGCTGAATTACTGGAACTATTCACCAAGGATTGGGTCCTTTGTACTTAAAATTACAGAATATGAAATAAGCCTCCCCCACCCCCAAAACACAGCAGCAATAACTTTACACTTCCCAATCAATGTATTTACAAACAGTAGATATTTGAACCTCACAACACCGATGAGCCAGAAAGTGTAGCATCCCTGTTAAAAATGGAGAAATTAGAGCCAAGAAAAGTTAATATCAACATTTTTAAGTTGTTCACTAATTTCAGGTGCCCAGCCCGAGATATATAGAAACGTTTTAAGAGTTCCTAAGCGTCCATTCACTTCTGCTGGAGCTCAGCAGCTCTGAAAATTAGCCCCTAAATGCCTCAAATAGGGCACCCAACCACTGCAACACAACATGAGCAGCCACTTTTGAAAAGTTTGGTTAAATCAACTTGTTCAAAGTCACTCAGTAAACAAAAACAACAAGGAGTCTGGTGGCACCTTAAAGATTAACAGATTTATTTGGGCATAAGCTTTCATGAGTAAAAACCTCACTTCTTCGGATGCATAGAGG